AATAGACAGAATTTTTGAATAAATGCACTGTACAAGGAATAATTAAGATTAAAATTACCTAATACACTAGAAAATAGATTTTTTTTTTTTTTTTTTGACATTATTCTATCTACATTATTAAAATTAGCTTCCCCCTAAAGGAAAAAGGTAATTCTAACGATTGCTCGAAATAAACTAAACTGGTATTATCTTTCTAATCACCAATTACTATTAGATATAATCTTCTTTAAAAAGTAGAATGTTTCCTTCCTTTTGAGATTTACTACTAAAACTTCTATTACATGATTCGTTATCCTCATTTAAAGTTGTTGACGCTGAGGAGGAGCTGAATTTTCGGTGCATCGGAACACTCTCGGAAAAATAATGATCATTGATGACAGAAACATTTGAGCTGCTTAAAGATGACCTATTCGAGAGTAAAGTAGGTGATGTGGGTGATGCAGGCGAGGTTGGCATCCTGGCTTGATCACGAGATGATCTTGAAGAGGTGGATGATGAACGTCGTGGTTTGTACCGTTGCGAACGTTGCGAAGCAAAAGATTCGCGCCTACTATTTTGCGAATATGAAGAATTTCGCCTACTGTCATGTTGGTATACTGGTGAATCGGGATATGAATGTATCGATTGACGTTTCCTTTGTTTTGACTGTTGAGAGGAAGGTTTGGAAAGTTTTGGAAGACCGGCAAGTTCACGGACGAGATTTATTTGACTTAAAATAAATTTCCACAATAGAAACCATGCTAATATTATGAGACGAAGAGTTGTATGAGCGATTTTAAAACAGAATTTCGGATGATACAAGGACGATAAGAAGAAACAATATGAACATTCGAATCTAATACCTATTAAGACAAAAAATCCCACCGTTAAAATCGCGATCACAAAGTCGGTTAACATTTTCAAAGACTCCATGTTTTGTATATTGCTCATTATTTCAAGCAAAGCGATATTTATGCTGATTTGATCAATAAGACAGTTATATGGGAAAAAACCGGAGTAAACAGAAACGATAAACATTTACTAATATAATCTGTTACCCGTCTCCAAAATAGGAAAGTCAGCAGGCGAAATGAATCCGTGCGCAGCATAATAAAATAATGAGATACTGCATTTCATTTGTAGATCATGTGTCATGTGTATGATGTAATTAATACTGCACAAAAATTACTGATGTATTTTTACGCCACATAAACGGTCACGTTCACACAAATATACTAACATATTTTTTTCAATCTTTCATCCCTCTTATATAGACCACTTGCTAAAATCGAGTATTTTTGTTTCTTTGCATCGTTCCATCCATGATTCATGTAATATTCAAAATCATCGGGGGGTACTCTAATTTTTAAGTGTAAATGTTCTACATTTCTCGAGTTTCCATGATTCAAAACCATCCTTTCAAACCTCAACTGTCTCCATGGTGCGTCTGAAGCCCTCATCTCTTCATAAAGAATTTGGATGGCGAGAGAAAACATTGAGAACACTTCTTCATCTGTGCATTCAGATAGTCTTTCTACGTGACGAATAGGTGTTATAATGAACATCGATCTCGCTTTAGCATCAATCCAAATATTGTGAAGTTTCATGTCTTCCTTTACGGTTGGTGGATAATCCAACATCGAAGCTTTATTTGTCTCGGATTCGACATCACAAGAAATACAGTTTAGAGTTTTTCTGGGAGGTTTCAACGACTTTTCGGCCTCGATGATTCTCACGCCAAATCCATTGAGGTTTTGTTCAACGGCAAGCTTGAAATGTATAATTCCCTTGGTTAATTCTATGGTATTTGTGATATCGCGAAAGAACGATATAACTCGATTAAAGACTACTCCTTTATCTTGTGAGAAGGTGTAATCAACCCCTCCGAGAAAATCAACGAATTGATAACGAGCATTTGGAAAAAATTTATTGCTGTATACTTGTGAATAATTTTTTCTCTCCTGTCTGTTATTACGTTGTTGCTGCAAAGGGTTTTGACTTTTAGTAGAAACTGCAGAGTCTTCAGTCTCCATGTCAGTCCATTGACTCATCGTGATAAGAATCTATGCTTGAAAATTGTGTTACCGAATATCGAATATCTTGGTTTAAAATTGGCCAATCGCATCGTACTAAACTTGCCCATAACTCAAGCGGTGTATTATTAAAAATTACGTATGCTGTATATAATTACCTATTTTCTTTATGCCTAATTGTTAATCCTAATCAATCTAAAAAATCTTTAATTAGAATTAACTATTTGCTTTCTGATTTAAGTAGAATATTATTGTTACTATTTATTATGATTTAGTTATACTATCAAGATTAATCAAATAGAAACAAAAAAAAAAAAATATTGTAAAAAATATTGTAATATTTGTTAGGACTTTCTATTCAGATAGTATATACTTATAGTAATATTATACTTTGTTAATTTATATCTTTTAGTTGTAAGAGAAATATTATTTGATTTTTGTTATTAAAAAATCAATACAAACTTTAATAATATATTATTCAGAGCACTTGTTTAAAGATAAAGAATTGTTTTCAATTTTACACTTCTTTACTAGCAAGAACTTATTTTTTTAAAAAATATAACATGATATTATTAACTGAAAAATAATTTTCTAAGTGTACTTTTTTAAGCAAAAAAAAATTTTAAAGAAAGTAATATAAACAAAAAAAGATTTATTTAACTATATAAATAAAAGCATTGCATGTTTAAAATTATTATTATATAATAATATATACAATAACTTTATTTAAAATTTTAATATGTTATTGTTTATATTTTTAAAAAAATATATGTATAATTTTTATATTTTTCAATATTTTTAATTTTAAAAATATATTACTTAATTTAAAAATCAATATAATAAAATTATAAATTTCTATAAAGATAAATTATTTATATTAAAAATTTTAAATCTTTTTAAAATTTATAAAACAATTGTTTTTATTATTATTATTTTTTTTTGTAGGTATTTATAAAACAATTATTTTTTATACAATCAAAATTTATTTTAATAAAAGCAATCTTGTTATTCTTTTAAAACTAAATGTTTAAAATTATTGACTTTTAAAAACAAAATTATTTAAAAAGAAAATTATTAAAAAAATAATAAGAAATTTATAAAACAAATTAAAAACAAATTTATTAAAAAAATTAATATTAAAGCTTTTATTAAAATAATTAAAAGAAAGACCTATGGGTCTATAGCACAGTGGTAATGCTCCATAGGTTACCAGGAGAAGGTCTAGGGTTCAATCCCGTCTGGTTACAAAAATTTATCATCTTCATGATTGGTTGACCGGCTTCCAATTCATGTCATACCCAATCAGCCGACAATTCATTTCCAAATTTAGTTAGGTTGCATGAAGATGGGACCTCTGGTCTTCTCGACGATCATGGGCTGAAAACAGGTCGAAGCAAGGAAGGTTGCACGAGAAAAGGCTTCTGGTCTAACTTTGACAAAAGCCCACTCT